ACAGTATTGAGGGAACTATTTGTTTAGCCAGAGTGATGGCGTTCAGGAAAAAACTGTTCTTGTGTCTAGTTGTTCTGGTGTGAAGTGCTCTAACGTTGTTTTGAGGGTAGAAGTTGAAACTATTTATGTCCAGGATGCGAGGGCTCTGTAAATATTTTCACGGCCCTCTTTTTGACTCGTGCAGTGTACAGGTCCTCAATGGAAGGCAGGTTGGTAGTAATTGTATTTTCTCCAGTTCTGATTATCCTCTGAAGTCTGTGCCTGTCTTGTTGGGTTGCAGAACCAAACCAGATAGTTATAAAGGTGCAGATGACAGACTCAATAATTCTTCTGTAGAATTGTATCAGCAGCTCTTTGGGCAGTTTGTGTTTTCTGAAGTTGGCGCAGAAAGAACATTCGTTGTTGTGCTTTTTTGATGATGTTTTTGATGTTAGGTGTCCATTTTAGGTCTTGAGATATGATAGAACCTAGAAATTTGAAGGTCTCTACTGTTGATACTGTCTAGTATTGTGAGAGGTGGTAGTTTGGGAGGGTTTCTCCTAAAGTCTACCACCATTTCTAAGGTTTTGAGTGTGGTCAATTCCAGATTGTTCCAGTTGCACCATGAGGCTAGTTGTTCAACCTCCCATCTGTATGCGGATTCATTGTTGTCCTGAGTGAGACCATCACTAACTCCTGATTTGTTTATATAAATATATATCATATAGAATTAATATGATTAAGAAAACACAATCAGATCTGTAACTACTTGTACTGAAATACTTTATCCCTCTAAAAATGTTGAACAGCCTGTTGCAACTCATTTCACTTTAGATAATCTGCTTTGGTCAGACCCTGTTTGAATCCATTTCCAAATCCTGCATTTTAAGAAGGTTTCAAAGACAGTAGAACAAGTCAGGCAAGGACGGGGAAGATGATCAGAGCAGTAGAAACAAAGTCTTATGAAGAAAGATTTGAAGAGCTAAAGATGTTAAATCACTACAGTATCGAAAATGAGAAATTCCATGAACTCAAGCATGGATGTCAAACAGATCAAGGCTTGTTCCAAGGGAAAGACGTACAATAATGATCTTTCCTTTAAATGTTAAGGGCAGTCCAACAGTAGAACTAGTTATCCAACATTTCCTATTACTTGATGGATTCAAGCAGAGCATAGATAAGACATTTATTGGGGATCTTTTAATTGCAATTCCTGTACTGAGCAGGAGAGTGATGGCCTAATTACCGTATTTTTCAGAGTATAAGATGTACTCCCCACCCCAAGAGGCTGAAAATTTGAGTGCATCTTATACTCTGAGAAGAAGCTTTTTTTCAACCCTAATGAGGCGCTAATAAGTGAAGCTATCTTCCGGGCTTCCCCTGCTTTTCTCATTGCTTCTCTCTCCGATGATCAGCTGTGCTCTACAAGCTGTTTTTTATCCCCAACCAGGGATAAAAAGCATTTGTGCGCACGTTCAAAACCAGGAAACCTAGGTGCTGACCAGACTAAGAACGCTAGCCTGATGAATACTTGGTAGGCAGATTCCCCCCCCCCTATTTTCCTCCACAAAAACTAAGGCGCATCTTATACTCCAAAAATATGGCACATGCGTATAAGCCAGCTTTCTCATCCCGATGAATTGAATTCAAATTTCCAACTGGTATGACTTTTTCATACTGTCTAGGACTTCTGGGAACTCAAATCTAACAAATCTTGTTGGATGCCTCATTTCTTTGGTCAGGGGTTTACCCTCTGGTGGTTTTTTTTTAATGCTTTACTTGCTTGTTTCAGGTGTGTGGAGGTGACAAACCTTTTCTTGCACCCAGTGATCTTCAGAATAAACACCTGGAGCTCAAGGAAGAGGCAGTCCGGCAATTCCGTGCTGTGAAAAAGATGGGGGGTGAAGAATTCAGCCGTCGGTACCTCCAGCAATTGGAGGCAGAAATTGACGAGCTCTATGTCCAGTATATCAAGCACAACGACAGCAAGAACATCTTCCACGCTGCTCGCACCCCAGCCACCCTGTTTGTTGTCATCTTCATCACTTACGTCATTGCTGGTGTCACAGGCTTCATTGGATTGGACATCATAGCCAGTCTCTGCAATATGATCATGGGGCTAACTCTGATCACCCTTTGCACATGGGCATACATCAGATACTCCGGGGAGTACAGGGAGCTGGGGGCCGTCATAGACCAAGTGGCAGCAGCACTCTGGGACCAGGTAAGAGCTCACTAACCATTCTTGAGCCTTAACACTAGCATTCCTAACAAGCCTCTAGTCTCCCTAGCCTAGGTGCAGGGAAGAAAGGGGCCCAAAATGGACCATAGTGAAGGCTTAACAAGTTTGAAAACTCTGTAACAATGAAGAGCTTCTCTACAGAATCAGAGGATATAAGAGAGAAGAGACAGATGGTTTTCTGTGCTGAACAATATTTTATTTATTAATCATGTATGCCATCCAACTCCCAATGACACTAGGCACTAGAACGGACATGCATGACTCCATCTTAAAGCTGCCTACTACCTCCAAAATCTGTGCACCTTTGAACTAACATTTCAAATATTAATACTCGACTGAGCCTTTTCTGATCCAGAGTCTTTGGTTCCCTTACTTGGCTATAATAAATGGGAATGATGGAAACTGAAATCCTACATTCTGGGAGGACAGCAGTTTGGAGAAACCAATAAAGGAGAGTATTTGTAACTCAGGGTTGAAATGAGGTGTCTTTGGTGCTCTCTGGGTTTGTTTTCTTCAAATGTTTCATTATCAAACTAGGTATAAGCCGTGGTGGCGCAATGGATAGAGTGCAGTACTGCAGGCTACTTCTGCTGACTACCGGCTGCCTGCAGTTTGGCAGTTCAAATCTCACCAGGCTCAAGGTTGACTCAGCCTTCCGTCCATCCGAAGCCAGTAAAATGAGGATTGATTGTTGAGGGCAATATGCTGACTCTGTAAACCACTTAGAGAGGGTTGTAGAGCACTGCAAAGTGGCATATGAATCTAAGTGCTTTTGCTATTGCTATAACATCATCAGTGCTAATAAGGAGTGGAGTTTGCTCTCAGCGACCACAAGTTTGGAGGTTTGCTGTGCAAAAGGAAATGCTCTTTTACATCACAGGAAATAGTTGCATGAAGACTATGGAGGAGATTTAGAGGGCTGAAAATCACTAGTAAGCATCATAATGGTAATAAAAAGATCAAAGTCAAGTAATGTTTGCTCTCTTGACTTCTCCAGGTAAGATTTAGAAAGCCCTAAAGCAGTGATGGCCAACTTTTTTCACCTCGGGTGCCAAACATGCTATCGCACATGTTTGCCTGCCCACCCCCATAATTTAATTGCCTCCCCGTGACGTGCCTCCTGCGCATGTGTGACACCTCCCCCTGCACCGCGCATGCCTGCACGGCTTTCTTGGAGCCTGGGGAGGGCCAAAATGGCTTACCCTGCCCCCTGGAGGCCTGTTTTCTGATTTCCAGTGGGCCCAGTAGGTCTGTTTTTTGCCCTTCCCAGGCTCCAGAGGCTTTCTAGGAGTCTGGGAAGGGCGAAAAACTGCCTAACATGGAAACTGAAAGATTGGGAATGGACTTTCGGGTTACCTGTTGGGCCATTTTCTCCCTCCAGAGGCTTCAGGAGGTTTCCCTGAAGCCTCTGGAGGGCGAAAAACAGCCCAATGTGCAAACTGGAAGTCCATTCCCGAACGTCTGGTTTGCATGTTGGGGTGGTTTTTCGCCCTCGGAGGCTTCAGGGAAGGCCGAAAATCTAGTGGCCTGTGCACACATGTGGAGCTGACAGGGCAACACCTTGCGTGCCCTCAGCAATGACTCCATGCGTGCCATCGGTTTGCCATGATGGCCCTAGAGCCATGTCTTTATGATGGGTGGACTTCAACTCTCAGAATTCCCCAGCCAGCTGTCTCAAAGTTGCCAGGGTTGTGAAATGCTGCCCTAGAGAGGCTGCTAGTCAATATGAAGAGAATGGATTTACGTTCTAGATATTAGAACACATAAGGCATCCATAAAAGGCTCTGGTTATCTTTTCAGTAACTAAAGTAAAATATTTAAAAGCAAATGCATCTCTGATCAGAAAATCCTTAACAAAAATCATGTCTACATGCCATATGGCATTAAAGCAGAGGCACATAGAAATCAGGATGCTTTGACGTTTTCTTCTTGTGAGGACCAGTGTTATAGTGCCTGTTTTTCAGCTGGCCCTTCTCCTGTAACCTGAATTGGTCAAGTTGCTTTCTGAGTAATTGCGATTGGTTTAAATATCACTCCAAATTTGATGGTGTTGAAAGGTGAATTATTATGGAACGTTAAAACAACAAATGTATAGTGCATGCATGTATTTGGATTGTGCTCAAATTCACTAGTCTTGCTAAAGAGAGCTGGATAAATAAGCAAGGGTGACAGATGTTGCCCAGTTGCTTGACAGCTATAGCAAAGAGTATTCTAGTCCAACAGGTTGACATTTTGTTTAGATTATGTTCATGTGTTGAACTAGGCTTCCTGGGTTTTAGTCCTTGCATAAATATCTATGCATGATGCACTTTAGAAATCTTGTCTTCAGATCTTAGGTTTATCTGTTTATATGGTTTATATATTATTTTCCAGGCAAAAATCATGAAAACTATGTATTTAATAATCGGAACACTCTGGTTCAAGAGGCTCCCCCAAAAGAAATAAAAGAATAAACAACAAATATATAGAATTGATGTTAAAATAATTAAGTCAATACTTAGCTTAAATATAGAAAGGCTGTGTTGCTAATAAATAGCTTTTGACTAGAACTGGCGGCTGGAAAAATGAATGAGGCAACTTTATATGTTTAGTTAACAAGCAGAAGAGAAGGCAGAATAAACTGAATGCACCCTCTCCAGACTGCTTCAGGATACAGTGGAATTGGGAATATAAATGCAAGGACATCTTGTGTTCTTTCTCTCACCTTGTTTCTTTCTTTCTTTTTGCAACTGGCTTTTCTGCAGGGCAACACAAATGAGGTAAGCCAACTTATTGTTATGCAAAAGCAATTCCTTCTCTACCAGTATACATATAGGAATGACTGTGCATGTGGGTTCATATTACTTCAAGGTATTTGTACTACCGATAGCTTTAAAATCTTTCCCATCATAGGCTGGAATTCGGAAGGCAGCTGCAGAATTTGACTGCTTGCCTCATTTTGGAATTCAGATCAGAGACCAAAAAGAGCCTGCTTAATATACTGCACAGCCCATTGGTACAAGCAGATTGTGCAGCAAAACAAGTAGAAGGGCCCTGTGTATCCATTAAACCTGCTGCTTTTTTTCCTGTAATGTTTGCTGGGAAAGGATCCAGGTCCCTGATGCTAGAGGAAGCGGGGTCAGCTCTCTAGAGAATACCATCCCTGAAATAACTTAAAACATCAATTCCTCTGGCAAAAAAGCAGAGTTCTGCAGCCAGTGGAATACATGTAGTTGAACTGAGGAATTTGCAGTGTTTTCACATTTTACATAAATTCTATCAGTAATTGAAAAAATAAAGCAATAGCTTGAGATAAAGGATTGAATACATGCAGCATGCCTGTTTAGTAGTCCGCCAGGAGAACAGCTGAAAACTTTCCCTCTCCTGTTTTTTATGTTTTGGTTTTCAGGCGTTGTACAAACTTTACAGCGCAGCTGCCACCCACAGACATTTGTACCATCATGCTTTCCCTACAGCCCAGAAGGTGGAGCCCAAGGAAGGGACAGAGAAGAAGAGTATGTAATCCAGAGGCTTTCCACAGAGGTGCAAGAAATACATCATTCAAACACGCTAATCACTTCTGCATCCATGTACCAATCTCTGGCACTCCTCAACATGGAAGATGGGAGAAAAATGATAACTCATTCACTCATGCACCAATGGCTTAAGTGTGGCTGCTTTAATTTGGACAATGCCCTGCTTGAGAGTGGATGAATCAGCATGACTGTCATTTTCTTTTTAAAAAGGATGCTGTGACTTAATTTTGCTGCAGACTCAGTACTCTTTGGTTCTCTAGAAAATGCTGTTACTTTCAGATCTTTTTAAGAGCATAAAGCCAGAGCCAGAGATGCTAATTGTTTCTCCTTTCACACCAGATTTTTTCCCCCTCACAGCTGAGCCACACCATCCCAAAGAAGCAAGAATGGGATGTAGCAGCAGTGCAGCTGACGATCATGCACACAACTGCTTGGGTGGGGCTTCTCTGAATCTGAGCCCCTTGAGTCATTAAGACCATTTAAGGCTTTCTGGGGGGGGGGAGACTCTCTTTTAAGTCAAATTCAACTCCTGGTAACTTCATGGACACATCCATGCAGTTTGATGAAGAGAAGTATGCAAATTAAACCTTTATGTGCACTTAAGAGGGTTTTGTGAGGCAAACCTGATGAATAAAAGTAATGGTCTGCCTGTAAACTGTACACTTATTTAAGTGGGGTTATCCTAACATTGCCCAATGTACACCTAAAGGTTTTGATATGCACACTTTTCTTAATACAGCTTATTCACTTGCCTTCTCTGAAGTTGCAGAAATTTCTTTTGCTATAATATGTTAAAGAGATGGAAAAGCCTTTTTTAACATGTCTTTGAAAATTCCACTGTATATATATATTTGTTTAGTGCATAAAGAGTGTTCCTAGTTTTATTATGTTATTGTTGATTAAAAGTTTGTTCCTAAGACAATTACCTATTTGTTGTTTTATTAATTTCTAAATATTCATGCAGAAACTTTCCTATCTCACACTAAATACAAAAATTTACACTGCATCTGTTTTACTTGCAATAGTTGTCATTCTGCTTTACTTAACAGCAGCCTCTTTCGGGGGGAAAATCTCCACAAATTCTTTAAACAACAACCAAAATTGAATTGTGTGTGGTTCAATTTTATAGGGTGAATTTAGGATTAATTCTAGTTAGATTTTTGCAGCTCAGTATGTTACACAAACACAAACTCAGACTATGAGGGAATCTTATGGAACATGGCATATATTAATCGAGAAAATGAATAAATTCAGTAATCTGGCTAACTATATTGCACAAACATACCCACAAGGCCTATGAACGGTGTTTTGTCCTACATTCCCACATCTAGAGGCATTTAAAGGTAAATTTCTTCAACATGGGTAATGAATGCAATCCAATTTGGGCTAATCGATCCCACAGCCCACTTCTTGTTGACAAGGCAAAAAAATATGAAATTTAGAAACAATATATTACAAATTTAAAACAAAAACATTTATTTTACAAAAACATGTCATAGAGGAGTCATAAGCAACAATTCAGAATGAAAATAGATTAGTTGCTCTGGAGTTGTAAATGTAAAACTACTTTGCCACCAAATAAAGGTTTTATAAAACTGTTCACTGCTATCTAATTATGATAAAATTTACTGCATATGGCCAAGACAACCCATGTTTATAGTTACTTAAAAAAAGCTGGTCCACTCCTTACTTGCCTGGAATACTTTGAAAGCTACAAACTGCTTCCACCAGCCTACATATGGCATTTCCTCAAACATGCCCAGTAGCAAATCAGAACAATGTTGAACAAAATAAGGCAGTAATTTATTAAGTGCTTGGTTTCAAACAAAACTTTCAATCTGCAAGGCAGCCACTGGAAAAACCCCTATGTGTTACCTTGTGTATGAAAGCTACAAACTTTACAGTTCATTTGCTGCAGCAGAAGTATATCTTGATCCTCCAGATACAGGACCACCTGTGAAATCACCAGCTGTGCAATGGGAATTAGGATTTCTTAAAAACATGTGCCTACTTTCAAGAAAAATGTGCAATGACATTTCCCATTTGAAAAAGGAAATTTTGCTCCTTCAAAGTAGAACCATTTGCTAGAAAAACATGAAAGACAAAATAATTACAAAGTTGTCTTTGCCTTTTTCATCAATAGTGGCTTTCAGAATAGGAAACTAACTTTTTATACAACAAACAGTTTGTATTCAAAAGCCATGATGCACAAAGAAGATAATTACAAAAGGTGCAAGATCCAGGGAGAAGCTGCCTTTTTAACCAAAGCACTCATTCACGATTTTTAAAGGGGAGCAAAAAGTCCCTAAGAGTTCTAATAACCTTCATCAGTGTCCATAGCAAAAAAAAAGGAGCTTAGAAATTCTTGCTGTGCTGCTGCGCATACCACTGCTGCCTTTGCTTGCGATTCTCCAGTTCCATGAGGAGGGCATGACGATATGCTTCATACAACTTCACAATCCGCTCCAGTTCCTTCATGAAAAGCAACTTCAGCATTCCCTGATATGTATCCAGGTCAGCCAACTGGAAGAGTTCCCATTTTAGTATGTGATCGTATCTGGGAGAAAATGCAGGAGTATATAAAACAAACATAAAGGAAAGGCTAATATCACAGTGTGTCAGAAACAATTTAATTTATAACACTATGCTGAAGTACACAGACAACACTTCCCACTACATCAAAATGGATTTAGGGAGAAGAAATATTTTTGATAATTTATACTTGGTATCTTTAAGGTTCCAACGTAAGACATTTGTTATAAAATATATTTATCATCAGGCATAGGAAAAAAAAAGTTTGTGCAATACTCACTTCACAGGAGCCCTAGCATAGACTTGCAGCCAGTCTGGAATCTCTGCAGTGTGATATGGATTGGCAGGTACAAGGACAGGCTGACTTCTGTCAGCTGGCTGTGGTTGATATGTCACAGGAGGTGGTTGGTCATAACGGGGGACGCTGCAAAGGGACACACCAAAAACCAGACACCAAATATTTTTATCACAATCTAGCAACGTATGTGACCAAGAAAACATTAAATTGAGCAAGATGTGACTAGACAGATGTGCCTGAGGCTGAGACTTTTAAATTCTGAATCAGACTCTTCCAAAGACCAATCACAGGTCTTCTGGTTTAAGCAAGTGATTAGAAACTGGATAGTGGTTTCTTATTTATATATAAAATAAACCACACTTTCAAATCAATCCTGACTCCTGGTGACTCAGTGACTCATATAGTTTAGGGCAACAATATGAAAGTGGTTTTCAATGGTGCATTCCAAATTGTTTTTAGAGCATTCAAGTTTGGTGTTGACTCTCTCACTCAAGTAGTAATTAAATCTGACTCTTCTTGGCTTGGGGGTGGGGGAGGAATATCAGCCTATACTGGTTAAGTGCTGCCATTGAGTCATAATTTAAATTTACTATTAATTTCTATAAACTCATATTTACCCATCTGCTTATATACAAATTATTCAAATATATACAGTAGTCCAATATGTCTAACCAAGCGGATTTAAAACAATTGATGGCAGGCTCAAAACCCAAGAAAGACGCATGGTGATTCTTCCAACCTGAGTTCTTTATTGTTCTTCACTTATAGAATCTTGCCAAAGTGAAGAACTCTGCTATCTGCATCTATCATATACTCTTAAGAACTATTAACGGGGTGACTGGCTTCAGCCTCTTTCTCTCACACTGGATCTTTTTCTCTATCTGGATTGAGCTGCCACTTATTCCTAGGAATGTACCCACTCCTTCCTGGAATTCAGCCTTCTATATTCCATCAGATGTGCAGAATTTCTGTAATATGCACAAGTACATATGAGAAGGAGAACTATTAATAATACTAATAATTTATTAAAATTTATGTGCAGCCCATCACCAGAAACTCTGGATAGTAGTTATTAATTTGTCTTGTTAAAGCTCCAATTACTAATAATATCAAAGTTAAAATGACATAAATCTAGGAGTATTAATGTAATAGGAATCATTTTCTACCACAGGATTTAAGCATTTTGACTTGTGCACTGTTTTTAAAGACTTCATTTTGAGGCAATTATAAAATTAAACATTAAACATATGTAATTTCTGATCCTTCTCAGAAATTCGTGGGGATTTATACAATTTTCAGTATGACTAGATTTCAAGAAGGATGCTCAGCGAAGATGTTCTCTGACCATGCAACACAGGCAATTTTTGAAGTCAGTGCTCGTCCTGGAGCCCTGAATTCATTTCAGTTCAAGTTTTCTAATCTAGGTTTGGCACACCACAATTCTTTCCATTTTAGTATTTTCTGTTTGTAAAATAAGAGTATTGGCCTACTCCTTTTCTTTGTCAGAGTAAATAAATAGATATAAATATTTTAAAATATATTCTTCAGAGTTCAATGACTGTGTAGAACAGAGGTAGAGAACAGAGGTTGTATGTAATGCCAATTTCTACATAAGCGAGTTGGGGGGATTGATAATAGATACCTCTTATTAATAAATTGTTGGGTATTCAATATCTAGTGAATTAAAAAGTTTGGAAATATTCCATTTTTTGAGTGAAGGAGTTTTAAGCTTCAATTGTTTCCAAAAATGCTAGAAAACCATTTATATTCATGGGATATTTTCTGAAACTTTATACCAAGCAGGAATGTTTTGCTCAATCAACTTTAACATGTTTTGTGAACAAACATGCAAAAATCTAAAATTTCTGGTATTATTTACATAGTCTTTATAAATTGAAGTAAGTAAGAGAAAATACATATAAGCAATAAAGAAATTGATTAACTTGTAGCATAGTTATTTCTATCTATTCAAACATTCTATAGTGAAAATCACAAGTATATTACCTGGGAGCACAAGGATGTTTATACTGTGCTCTTTTATTGATGTGGTCAACATAATACACTCCAAATTCAGCCGATTCAACACGTTCCCATCCTGGAGGCAGCCCTTCTCGCTCAAGTGGATGGCTCCAATGTGTTGTGTTAGTATTGTGGTCTATGTAGTACTTTCTTCCTCTAAGAGTCCAATCTACTGACCAACCAGGAGGGAGAGGTAAATCTTCTGAACTGTGATTTGTTAAATTTCCTAATGAAGTTGCAGCAACCCTTCCAATGCCTGGAAAAACCAAGCCAAATGGGGTATTAATAAACCAAAAAAACATTTAACAGTGTAATTTCTTTCCTCAGAAAAGCAGGTTGTGATCAGTTCCACAATGTATACCTTTGCATCCTGTTTACTCATGTAAATGTTCCTGTCTGAACAATGTACCTGTGATCTTTTTTCTTTTAGAAATTCACATATACTCATCATTAACTATGAAAAGTATATTTTAGTCAGTTTAATTTTTGATGATTTTGTTGACAAATGTTGTAACAATACATTACAAATTGTTGTAACAATATATTCGTGATTTGCTACTGCCTTCTTCCAGGATGTTTTTGATTTCCCAGTCTAGCCTAAATCCCAAGTATTTCCCTAGTAGTCTCACATCTAGGTACTAACAAAGCCTAAATTTGTGTACTTTCTAAGCCCAATGTAAGCCAGGGGTTGACCATATGACCAATTAATTGTGGATCAGAGTTTACTTTAGCACAAGCTTGCACTTGGAAGAAAAGCTTAACTCCCCTTCACCCATAAGAAGACTCAACAGCACTGAGGACAATGTAAAGGACTGGTCAAAAATATAAAAACTTCTAAACTAGATAAATGAGCAGCTAAAAAGGAGTTTTCAAATGTTCCATTTCAAATGTTTTCCAATAAGGAAAACAAAAACAAAAAGATACTTGAGGTCACAAATCATATAGAACTGATTATCTGGAAACAAAAGGGTTTTTATTGTGGAGTTAGTTTTCCAAGATGTCAGAAAACTTGGAACCAAAGTTTTCCGAGAAATTAAGAGAGACAAAATGAAAGTAGGGCTTCCTTTGGTTTTAGGC